CTCACGGGTGATTAATAGTGTGCACCTGAGTGTGCATGTGTGTAAGATTCCACACGTCTGCACCTGTGTGTGCGTGTGACCCAGCTTGATGTGCACGTGTGAGTCTGTGTGCATGTGAGATGATATGTACCTGTGTGATCCTCCTCACGGGTGATTAATAAGCTCTCCTCAACGTGATGCCATGTTCTTCTTCACGTAGTCCAGCTTCTTGGATTATCTGCCCCGCGTACCGAGTGAATAGTTAAAAAACAACGGTGAGTGGATGCCACCCTGACACACACCTTTTCTGATTTTACACCGCGCAGTATTCCCTGGTGTGATCCAAGTGTCTGCCTCTTGGTCCCTGGACAGGCTCCCCGTGAGCACAATGCAGTGTGCTGGAATTCCCATTCTTCCCAATGGCATCCATGGCTTGTTGCAATATGCAGATGACCCAACCATGCCCACTGAAAGTGAGGAGGACTTGCGGCCTGTGTTGCTGCTGATGGAAGACTGAGCCTTCCCTGGGGACTACAACTCATTGGGAGGAAGGCCCACATGCCTTTCAACTGGACCCTGGGCAAGGTCATGGTGAACAGAAGGATCGACCTGTCAAGGATCGCGTGTTACTTGGTGCCAGAGCCGGCACGTGTGAAGGCAGTGGCCATGCAGTCACCCGGCCTGGCACAGGGATCACATCTGAGCAAGCCCTGTGTAAAGAGGGAAAGAACAAGAAAATGCCACTTTGAGGGCCACGTATGCCTGACCCAAGCTGGGACCCATCCCGTCACCCCAGAGGCGTGTGAAAGGCAGACCCGGGGAGCTGATACTAAGGGCTCAACCAGAAAGTAAGTGTTTAGGACAGGATGATGGCACCATATGTACAAACAGACTTGATGTAATGGATGCCCGGAATGTTACGAGGGCTGTAAGAGTCCCCGATAAAGTGATTTAAGAAATAAAAGGCAGACACAGACTAAGAAAGGCCGAAGACGTGGTGCTTTGGATCGTGGTGCTGGAGCAGAGCAGCGGAAGGCTGTCTTGAAAGACGAGCAGCCAGAAAGCGCTTCAGAAGCGAGCACGGCCAGCTTCATCTCGCCGTCGTCAGCAGAGAGCAGTCCTTGGGGAAGGATGTCGTGTTGGGTACTGCAGAGGGGCCAGAGACCCTGCACAGGATGGCTGCCCACAGAGGCTGCACCCTGGGCTCACAGCACTCGTTGTGAGGCTGGCGCAGGATGGGTCTCCGGGAGTGGAACCTGACCCGATGGCACATGGCAACAGCATGTGTGCTTCTGTGTGTGCACATGTGCGATCCCGTGTGTGCGTGTGCCTAAGTGCCCATATTTGGTGAAAGCACGTGATCCTGTATGTGTGCATAGTCGTGTGACCTGTGTACATAGGCACACGTGTGCTCCTTCCTGTGAGAACATGTTGCTGTGTGTGCATGCATGCTTAACCTTGTGTGCGCAGCCCTCTGTGTGTGGGCTGCCCCTTCTTCCTGACCAAAGCCCCCAGTCACAGACATGCACACACAGATCGGTGGGGCTTATCCCCATGGCGGGAGCAGTGAAGATGACTGAGAGGCCATAGAGTCCGTCTGTGCCGGCCCTCAGCTCATAAAAGCCCCCAGGGCAGACCTGTTGGCCTCACTCAGAGGAGAAACTGGCCCTGATTTGGCCACTGCAGAGGTCCCCCAGCTTGCTCAGTGCCTTGGGAGAACCTGCCGGCAATGCCCCCTCACCTCTGCTTTGGAGGGCAGGACAGGGTGGGGGGGAGGCACAGAGGTCAACGTCCGATTGCTCACCTCCCTGCAGGGGGAGCTGTCACTCAGCGCTGTCCACATCAACTTGGAGGAGAAAGGGAAGCAGATCCGCTCTTTCCTGATTGAAGGTGGGGCTGCCCCTGCCCTGCCTCCAGCCCCTCACCCCCCTTCCCATCCCACCTGCCCCAAGTACATGGGCCTGCTCGAGAGGGGTGGCCTTTCATGGGCTCCAGGAGGCCCCTCCTCTCACACGTGTCTTGTGTCCAGGCCATCTGATCAACACCATCCGGGTGGTGTGCGCCAGTTACGAGGATTACGGCCACTGGGTGCTCTGTCTCCGGACCGCCGCCCTTAGGGACAGGGGCCATGTCCTGCCGGGCCCCGGGCCCAGGGTTCCCATGCAGGTGAGTGGCCAGAGGCAACCCAGTGTCCCCCGACCCCAGGCTCACGTCCCAGCCATGGTAAGATCAGGGCAGCAGGGTGTGTCCAGCGTGGGTGATGGAGAGCCAGTTGCTCAGTCCAGCCCTGGCTGCCCAGGTTGCAGGCGGTGGCCGAGGCTCCCTCTCCTCGGATGGACGGACCAGTTGGGGCTCCGGGTGCCCAGCACCCCCCTCCACCCGCACCAGTCACTCCCTCCCTGAGTCTACGGTGCCGCCCCCAACAGTCTCCGAGGCCCAGCCTGGACCCGTGAGTACACTATGGGCAGGACGTCACAAGTCGGGGGTGGTGGGATCTGGGCCCCCACGATATTCTTGACCAGAGACTGGAACCCGAGAGAGCTCCATGCAGCCTCAGAAGGTTGTGTGGTAGGTAGACATCTTCTGGAAGGTTCTTGGTCCCTACAGGACCAGACTGACCCAGGCTACGCCAGCATCAGTCACCGGAGATCTGAACTGAGACGAGGGGGCAGCCACAGGTCAACCAAGAGCACGACCCAGGGAGAGGGGCCTGGCCTGGTCGCCCCACTGCACTTAGACCTGGACCTGACCAAGGTGAGCCCCGCGCCCCACCCTCGGCCCTGGTTCCCCTCTCTCCGCCTCCCAGGTGTCCCAGCCTGTAGCAGAGAAGGGAGCTCTCAGATTCCCCCTGCCCAGCTCATGGGACCCCATGCTTTGTGTTCTCTGCACCCCAGCTAAGCCGACTGAGCCTGGAGGGGGCAGCGGAGGACTCTCTGGGGCCACCACACTCCCCGCTGTATGCCGATCCCTACACCCCGCCCGCCACCTCCCACCACAAGATCACAGACGTCCGGGGCCTGGACGAGGTCAGTGCCTGCAGCCTTGGGCTCAGAGTATGCCTGGAGCCTAAGGTCCGGGTGTTGTCCAGGGTCTGGGGTCTGGGGTGTGCCGGCCTGGGGTCAGCCTGGGTCATGCTGGGAGGCCTCGGGCTCGCTGGGCCTCCACTCACGTAGGCTTTCCTTGCAGTTTCTCAGTGCCATGCAGAGCTGCCCCAGGCCAGAGCCAACCGGCGCCTTCTCCGCCGTCCCTGTGTCTGTGCCCGTCTCTGACCCCAGCCCTGGCCACCTGCTGCCCAAGAAGGGAGCCCCGCAGGGTCACACCCCTCAGAGGCACCGAGGCTCCTTCAAGGGCCGGGGGCCAAGGCCCCCAGACTCGCCGCAACTGGTGAGTAGCAGCCCCAGCCTGGCTTGTAGGACGGTGGTGGGCAGGGGGCGGTGTGGGAAGGACTGGCCTTGCAGGGAACAGGGAGGCAGGTGCAGGGGAGAGGAGGATGGGAAAGTGTGCAGCGTGTGTGGAGATCAGAGGCAGAGAGCAGAAAAGGTGAGTGAGATGTGGGAGGGAGGCCAGGTGGCTGAGAGAGGCAGAGGCTGGGCCAGACTGCCCCCAGCCCCACCTCCAGCCCCAGCCCCCCTGGAAGCCTAGCCTCAGACTGGCTGTTTGGGACCCCCAGGTCTCCACTGCGAGGGAAGGACCCCCCGACCCGGTCCTGCTTACCCCAGGTGAGTTAGGGCGGTCTTCCCTGGGCCTGGAGGTGCAGGCTCGCGACCTCCCTGCTGAGACCTCCCTGCCCCCTCTCTAGCCCACTGCTCCCCCCGGAAGAGTACAGGCCCAAGCTCCAACAGCACCGGGAAGGAGGCAGCAGCACCGTCCCGCCAGAAGTGGCCCCGGCCGGGCGCACCCGAGGCCGAGCGGGCCCTGACTCAGTGGATCTGATGGCATCACAGTCCTGGGTCTGTGGACGGCCGTCTCTCAGAGCCACCCACACCAGCCGCCAGACCGGGGCCTGTGCCCATCTCTCCGGGACTTACAACTGACCATCTGTTGTCATTTTTGACCTGTTAAAATCTGGACCGGGCTTTGAACCTAAAGTCCCTGCCTCTGGGCTCCGGCAGCTGAAGGGTCAGGAGGGGGGCTGGTCCCTGGAGGGCAGACTGTCAGATGAGCAGGGCCATCAGGAGGACTCTCAGTCCTGTCCTCAGGCAGGAATGGGAGAGGGCAGCTGGTTGGGGCCTCCCCGGGGTAGGCAGGGGCAGTCAGAGGGCTGGGGAAGTCAGGTCAGCGAGGGTCAGTGGATGTGAGGTTAAAGGGTGAATGTGAGGGGAGGTGAGAATCAAAGATCAGCAAGGGGGAAATATCCCGAATGGACGGCTGAGGAGGTGGGGGTCCCAGTTTTGCCTGGGCCTGTGTGAAGGGAGGGGGGGGTAGGACCATCGGGAGAGACCAGCGCTGCTCAACCAGCAGGAAACAAAGGAGATTTTATTGGTTCTCTGTGTCCTCCTGTTCCCCTCTCGACGGCCGTCTTTCAGACCCCAAGTCCATGGAGCCTTGTGCCACCCCCCCTCAAGCCCTCCCCTGCACCTGCCCCCCTACGGTGCCCTGCCCTCAGCCTCTAGCCACTTCAATGCCACCCAGGAGCTCTGGGACCACCCAGGTGCCCAGTCCCTGCTTGATGCCCTTCCTGTGCTTGCCTCTGTGCCTGCTCTTCAGGGACCCCCAGAGTCCGGTCATGGCTGTGTATTATAGACCTCTGCCCTGCAGGGGCTGCCGGCCATCTCTCTTCCCCAGGACCCTGCTCCCTGTCTCAGCCTCAGACTCAGCCTGGCCCACAGCCCCTGGGGCTCAGAGAGGCCTTGGAAACAGGACCCCCCCTGCCTCGTTCGTAGCCATAGCTGCACAACTCCTCCCCTGCCACACACACCTGCCCCACCACCACTCCTTGCTGCTGCTCTGACCCCATCCTGCCCTTTCGGCTTAGGGTCACCAGGCAGGGTACAGCCAACCTTAGATGATGCCCCTGTCTCATCTAAGGACACTCACCAATGCATGCCGGAACCCGACGTCCCATGGCCCCCTCCATGTCCCTAGCTGAATCAGCTGTCCACCCCCTACTCATTGCATTCTCCAGAGCCCCACCCCTCAGGCAGCCAGTGGGGGACCTGGTCCTTGGGTCCACTCACTGGACCCTCTGGTGGCGCCGGGGGACTGGGAACTCCAGCTCAGGATACCAGCCCTTGCCTGGACCAAGGTCCAAAGGACAGAGCCATCACCCAGGCCGTCGGCTCCTGGTCCTGCTGTCTTTCTGGACAGGACCAGACTCTTAGGGGCTGGGGCTGCGGCTGCGGCTGGGGCTGGGGCTGGGGCTGGGATGTCCCCTTCTGGCTTGGCGACGGAAGTACCGGATGGCGGAGATAGTGCCAAGGTTGGCCAACAAGACTGTAAGAGAAGCACCAAGCCCCTGAGAGCTGGCTGCAGCCTGGAGACCCCCTTTTCCCTCTTGGAGGAGCTAGGGCGGGGAGTTGCCGGGAGCACCTTCCCCACCCCCTGCTAGGCACAGCACCCCAGGTGATGCCCCCTCCCTCCAAGGGCCCCAAACCTGTTTTCCAGGCATCTGGGGTGTGCAGGTCGGATGTCCTCACAGCCCAGGTGGCAAAGGCCACAAACACCAAGCACATGTCTCTCTGGCTGAAGGTGAACACAGAGCTTGGCCCTCGAGGCTCCCCTAGGACAGAGACACCCCCGCTCCAGCTGTCCTGCTCCGTGGGGCACCTGCCCTCAGCAGGGTCAGGCCACCCGGACACAGCCAGACCCAGGGCGCCTGTCCCACGTCACGCCTCTCCTTGACATGTCCAGAGTCACCTGTCTCCAACACGTCTGACCTGAGTCACGCCTGTGCCCAGTGCAGTCGCCCTGTCACACGTGCTCAGAGACTCTTGGTGGTGTGTGAGGTCGAGTCAGGGTGACCCTCTGGTGCCTGCCTTCCTGATAAATGTCTTCCAAAAGTGACAGGAGCCCAGGCGTGCGGGGGAACTCGCTGGCCTGGGCAGGCAGCCAGCCAGGCCTGAGCAAGAGTTCCTCCAGACGCCACGGTCCTGGGATGGCCAGCAGCTGGCCCGTCCCTCCCTGCCAGTCCCAGTCTCCCCGCCCCCTAGCTCAGGCCCTGGGTCCTGCCGCCCCTCTGGGCCCTGGCCACCCTCCCGGCTGGGCTCCTTGGACAGTGTCCCCGGACCTGGCCATGGTGCTGCCAGCACTCACCTGCCCGCCTGCCCGCCAGGCTCAGGGCCAGGCTCAGCTCCTGTGTGGTGGCCCCATGAGGCCCAGGTGGGGGTACCAGCTCCAACACTCGGTCAAAGCCCTCTTCCCCGAAGAAGTGCTCGTAGGCCTCAGGGAGGGAGATGGGCACAGGGTCTCCAGGTGGAAGGGCTGGCACAGGTTCGGCTGGCTGGCTGGGGGCTAGGACATGGCTCTCACGTGACCTGGGCCTCTGGGGCCCACTGTCCCGGAAGAAAAACTCACAGACGTCAGGCCACTGCATGTCCTCGGGGACCTGACCCATGGCCCCCTCCTCATCTTCCTCTTCCTCCTCCTCGATGGTATCACAGAAGAGAAACTCGTAGGCCTCAGGGAGCGTCAGGGCAAAGCTTCCCGATCGGGGGTCCCCCGAAGTGGAGGGGGTCGGGGGAGGTAGGTGTTTGAGGATCCGAGGCTGGGGTGGCCGGGGCCTGACTGCCACAGCATCCCAGGCCCCTGGCGCCGCCCGGGCCCCCGGTGCCGCTCTGGCTGGTGAGGGTGGGCCCAGGGCTTCCCCCGGCTCAGGCTCTTCCAGCGAGGCCATGGAGAACCGGACTCTCTTCTTCTTGGGGGTCCGGCCAGGGCCTGGGGGGTGCTCCCCTGAGAAGTAGCCAGGGCCATCTACCGAGGACTCTGGTTCCCGTGGGGACACAGCAAGGCTCACATCCAGCCTGGCCCCAGGTCCAGATTCCCCCATACCGGGCAGGGCCTCAGGGACGGAGGTCCAGGAGGGGGCAGCCGTGGTGGCTCTGGGGACAGGCGTGCACATGTCCACCGCAGCGGTGTCCTGGGAAACAGGGCCAGGCAGGGCTGAGAGAGGTGTAGTTGGGTCCACCTGTTGATTGACTTCTGGGACCAGCGTCGGCAGATCCTCAACAAGCCCGGCTCTGGAGAACGGTGGGGAGTGGGAGACAGGGGCGGATGTGGCCCCAGTGGGTGGAGGCTGGGACTTGGGTGAAGACTCGCTTACTTCAGGGGGAGGCTCAGAGTCAGGTACAGACAGGACCCCATCAGGGGGCAGCTCAGAATCCTGTGTAGATGGAGCCCTGGGGGATGGGGGCTCAGAGTCAGGAGGAGACGAAGCCCCATCAGGTGGAGGCTCAGAGTTGATTATAGATGAGACCCCATCCGGGGGTGGCTCAGAATCCTGTGTAGACAAAGCCCCGTGGGCTGGGGGCTCAGAGTCAGGAGGAGACGAAGCCCCATCCGGGGGTGGCTCAGAATCCCGTGTAGATGGAGTCCTGTGAGCTGGTGACTCAGAATCCATTGTAGACTTGGAATTCTGTGTAGACGGAGCCCTGTGGGCTGGGGGCTCAGAGTTGGGAACAGACAAGACTCCATCAGGGAGCGACTCAGAATCCAGTGTAGACAGATCCCCATCAGGGGGAGGCTGGGAGGCTGGGGCAGACAGAGCCCCATTGGAAGGGGGCTCAGAGTCAGGGGTGCACATGGGCTGCCGCTCCGCCTTGGGGGTGGTTCTCCCCCGGCCTGCACCCCGCCGGGGAGCGGGAGTTGGGGTGCCAGGGTCAGCCTCTGCAGCAAGGGCTGGAATCCGGGCCTTGGAGGGCGGTGGGGAGTCTGGCGGGGCTGGGTGCCCGCCACCCTTGGTGCAGGCTGCCCGCTTCTTCTTCCTGCTTGGGCTTTGCTTTAGGGCCCCAGGGCTGCTGGGGGGCTTCTGGGGCACTCCAGGGCTCTGAGGGGGCTCCCCAGGGGGCCCAGGGACAGGGCCTCGGGGGGCTGGGCCCTGCAGAAGCCTTTGCATGTCGCCCCCTGAGAATCCCTGAGACGTCGTGGGGCTAGGAGGGCCAGTGCCGGAGCTGGGGGCCTGCTGGCCTCCGGACTGTGCGGACGTGACCAGCGTCTGCTGACCAGCTCCCGGGGCCAGAAGAGGCTCACACCTGCTGACCAGCCGCCGGGTGCCTGTGCCCTCCTCCTCCTCTGGGCACCACAGGCCCCTCCCCGTCAGAACTGGCTGCCAGGTCAGGAGGGGCGGGGGACCAGGGGGACTGCTGCCACTGCTGTCCCCTTGGTCAATATCACTGGACAAGGGCTCGTCCCCAGATGCCAGGTCAGCCTGCAGGAGGCCACACTCGTCAGCGGTGGCGGCAAACTCAGCCCAGTCCCGGTCACTCAGCTGGACGCTGTACTGGAAGTTTTCCATCCTGAGTCAGCTGGCATCGGGAAGGAGGACATCAGGCACCCTGAGGCAGGGTGGCAGGTGGCTCTGTCCCCCTGGGCTCCTGGCCTGAGGATCTGTACCCTACCCCCTCCCTGAAAGAAAGCACAGAGGGTACGTCCGGGGCAACTGTGCCCCCGCAGGATTCTTCCTAACCTGTTAGATGGTTCGCTCCGAGTAGGAAGCTCTCCTGCTCCGACGCTGCCTGTTTCCAAACTGAGCCCATGAGTGTCTAAGGAGACCAGAGGACGATCCTGAGGTCACGCAGGGCCCTTCCCGCTGAGACTCCCACCACTTGCCTCCTGCTCCGTCAGGCCCAGCTGGGGCTTCCTCCTCAGCTGCCCACATCCTTCAAGGCGTCTCTGTCTGCTCAAGGGCTCCCAGCCCCTGGCCTGTCCCAGCATGCCCCAGGAGGCAAGTGGCCTGGGAGGCGGGCCCCACTGTTCAGCAGGTGACTGACTGTCTTGTAGTGACCTTCCACCCGCTGAGCTGGGGCCATGTTGGGCCAGGCTTCCTTGGAGCTCGCCAACGTCCCACTGCGGCTGCCAAGGCGCAGCTCAGCAGGGAGAATTGGCCGCAGCTCTGAGCACGTCTGACCAGGGTCACAGGATGCAGGCAGGCACATGTCCTTGACCCTGGCAGCCCCAGGGCCCTCCCAGGGTCTGGATGCCCACCTCTGCCTGACTCACTGAGTCCATCCAAGGCCCCCCGGCCCCTCCACACCTGCTGGGTGGCCTCTCGGGCTGGGAGAGTCCTCAGAAGGGGGTGTGGCTTCCTGACCCACTGACCTTCGCTTCCTCACCCAGCTCCTGGGAAGTCCCTGTGGGTTACACCAAGGGGGCCCCTTGGAAGGGATGTGTCCTACCTGGGACCCCACAGCTGGGTGAGGCTCTGAGGGGGGTCTCAGTGCGTCCGGGGCAGCGTGGTGCAGTGTGACAAGGAAAGCCCCACCCCCACTGCCAAAAATACCATGTCCTCCTGGTCACACGCGCCTCCCACTGCCCTTAGAGTCCAGGCCACAAATAGATGGCCTTTGAGGGCCCTCCAGCTAGTGAGGGACACCTCCCGTGTGGCCAGGCCTGGAGCTGGCCCAGATCAAGGGAGGACACAAGCCAGGGAGCAAGCAATGCAGGCTGACCAGGCCACCAGGACTTCCAGGCTCAGGCTGCAGCCCCTCCCCTTCCTCCCACAACCCCTCCCCTCCTGCCACAGCCCCTCCCCCTCTTATAGCTCCTCCCTCTACTATTGCTGTGAGGTGCCATCAAGTGCTCCCAACCTATCCTGATCTTATCACAACAGATGGAAACACTGCCTGGTCCTGCACCATCCTCACAATTATTCCTATGCCTGGACCCATTGTTGCAGCTGTGTATCCATCCATCACATCCAGGGGCTTCCTCGGACTGATCTCTCCTGACAACATGCCCAAAGCATGTAAGATGAAGTCTTGCCATCCTTGCCTCTTTAAGGAGCACTCTGGCCTTACTTCTTCCGAGACAGATTGGTTTGTCATTTTGTCAGTCCATGGTCCTCAGCCTCCTCCTCCAGCACCATCATTCAAATGCATCGGCTCTTCTTCAGCCTTCCTGATTCAATGCCCACCTTGCACAGGCACATGAGGCCATTGAAAGTACCACGGCATGGGCCCCGGGCACTTCAGTCCTCAAAGTGACCTCCTTACTTCTCAGCCCTCTAAGGAGGTCCTGGTGCAGCAGACGGACCCAGCGCAACGCTGTCTTTTGATCTTTGGGCTGCTGCTTCTGTGAGCATCGATCCAAGCAAGGCAAACCCTTTAGAGTTTCATTTCTCAATTTCTCATGCTGTCACAGTGGTGGGCGCCTGGGTCTTCTTGGCAGTGAGTCGTTGTTCATCCTGAAGGCTGCAGTCCAATCGTCATCAGCCACAAGCAAGGCGGTGTCATCCGCAGCCTGTTAATAAGTCTTCCTCCCATCCCGATGCCACACTCCTCGTTACATAATCCAGCTTCTCTGATGGTTTGCTGAACGTACCAGGGGGTATCCAAAAAACCCCTGATGCTTATTTGGTTTTTTGATGTGAGGGAGATAGAGCATTTGGAGTTTATTACACCAGTTCAGACCGTTAATCAAGCTTTCGACTTAGATGGTCTGAAAAGATTGTTTAACAGTGTGAGACGCCCCCCAAGAAAGGCCTGATTTGTGTCAGATGGGGGACTGGTTTTGCTCGCGCAGCCATCTCAGTGCACCAGTTTTGGGCAAAAAACAGTATGCCTCTCTTGCCTCGTGCACCTAACTCACCTGACCTCACTCTGTGCGACTTCTTTTTGTTTGTGAATGAAGAGGGACAGGAAAGGACAGTGATTGGTTGATGTAGAAGAGGTGAAGAAAAAATGAGGGAGGTGCTGTCAGCCATCCAAACAGATGAGTTTAAAAAATGTTTCCAACAATGGAATTGCGGATTTGACACATGTATTAAGTGTAATTAAGAGTACTTTGAAGGTGACAAGGTTGTTTTTAATTTTTTTAAAAAATACGTAGTTTGGGAAAAAATCCTGGTTTTTTTGGGGGTACCCCTTCATACAGATTGAACATGTATGGGGAGAGAATACAACCCTGTTCACACCTTTCCTAATTTTATACCATGCAGGATTCCCTTGTTCCATTCATACAACTGCCTCTTGATCCATGTACAAGTTCAGCATGAGCACAGTTAAGTGTTCTGGAATTCCCTTTCTTCTCAAGGTGATCCATAGTTTATTATGATCCACACAGTCGAATCCTTTTATTCTCTGCTTTAAGCCAAGACCCATCTGCCATCAGTAATAATATCCCTTGTTCCACGTCCTCTTCTGAATCCAGCCTGAAGGTCTGGCAGCTCCCTGTCAATGTGCTGCTGCGATAGTTGTTGGATGATCTTCAGCCAAATTTTGCTTGCATGTGAGACTAATGATATAGTTCTATATTTGAGCATTCTGTTGGGTCACCTTTCTTTGGAATGGGACAAATATGGATCTCTTCCAGTCAGCTAGGCAAATAGCTGTCTTCCAAATCTCCTGGCATAAATGAGTAAGTGCTTCCAGTGCTTCTCAGCTTGTGGAAACATTTCCATTGGTATTCCATCCATTTGATTCCTGGAGCCTTGGCTTAGGCTAATACTTTCAGTGCTGTTTGAACTTCTTCCTTCAGCACCATTGGTTCTTATTCGTGTGCTACCTCCTGAAATGGTAGAATGTCAACCAGTTCTTTTTGGTACAGTGACTGTGTGTATTCTATCTTGTCTTGATGCTTCCTGCATCATTTGATATTTTGCCCACAGAATCTTTCAAGATTGCAAGTTGAGGCTTGAATTTTTTTCTTGGGTTCGTTCAGTTTCAGAGATGCTGCGTGTGTTGTTTTGGTATTCTAATTCTAGGTCTTTGTACTGTTTGTGAGCCGATTTTGGCTTTGTTTTCTGGAGCTGCCCTGGGAAATTCTCTGTTTTGCTCTTAGACGTCATCCTGTCTTTCTTCCATTTGCTTTAGCTACTCGACAAGTAAGAGCAAGTTTCACAGTCTCTCTGACATCCACTTGGATCTTGTCTTTCTTTCCTGTCTTTTAAATGAGTGAATTAGTTAATTGTGCCAGCCTGGCCGATAATCACATGTGGGGCTAATTGAAAGGCGGAGGGATAAATGGGTGGTGAGCCTCACCTTTCTAGTTCTCGGGTCTCTTGTTTTGTGATGGTTGCACCAGGGTGCAGCTGCCTTAGCAGTTCCCTGCTTCAGCTTGCAAGATTGACTTCCTACAAGACATCCCCAAGGAGAAGCCGCATGGATCTATCCTGATGCAGCCCTGGGTGCTGGAGCAGCCGTGTGGAGACCCCTGCTAGTGCTGAGATGCTTGTTCGTTCACTGACTCAGCTTTCTTCCTGCAGTCGGCATTATTGCCTCTGTTTTGTGGGGTGGAGGACTTTGTGGACTGGTGTTGGGTTCATGGGTTAATGTTGGACTTGTGGGCTTGGGCAGCATTGGGTTGGGATGTTTTCGTGATGCACATTTTCTTTACATAAAACTCTCTCTTGTACGTGAGTCGCTGTGGATTTGTTTCTCCAAAGTACCCAGACTAATACAGTGACCTTTTGCTTTCTTCGTGAACGGTGGCCTTGATGTCCTCCCTCGGCTCATCAGGTCTGCTGTCATTAGTGCTCCAGGGGTCAGATCTCTCCTGAGATGGTCTCGAATTCAGGTGGGATAGACTTGAGGCTGGATATTGCCTCCCGTGGACTTCTTTTGCTTTTCCACAGCTCAACCTGAACTTACACCTGCGCAATTGACGGTCTGTTCCACACTCAGCTCCTGGCCGCTTTTAGCTGCTGCTCTTGAGCTTCTCCATCGTCAACTCCCACAGACGTCGTAGTCCATCTGGGGAAGTCCATGGGTATAGTTGCCTTGTGTGTGGTTGAAAAAATATACTTGCTGTGAACAAGTCGTTGGTCTTGCAAAATTCTCTCATGCCGTCTCCAGCTTCCTTTCTACCCCCAGGTCCGTATTTCCCAATGACTGTCCCTTCCTCTGTTTCCAACTTTTACATTCCAATGGCCAGTAATTGTCAGTGCGTCTCGATTGCATGTCTGATCAACTTCTGACCGAAGTCGTTGATAGAATTTGAATAATAGTCAATACTGTCACCATCCGTGAGGACACGGAAGGAGAATACAGTGGCATCGAGCACGTGATTGTCGACGGAGTTGTGCAGAGCATCAAGCTTATCACCGAGCAGGCAAGCAAGCCTTCGAATACGCCCGGAACAATCCGGCACAATCACTGGAGTTTGCCTTCGAATATGCCCGGAACAATCACCGGAGCAACGTCACCGCCGTGCACAAAGCCAACATCATATGGTGCAAGACCCATCCCAGTATGATGTTCTCGTTGTGCCAAACTTGTATGGAGACATCCTTAGGGGCTGGATCCATCACTGTTGCTCATTTTTCGGGTGTTCAAGCTGTCCCAGTTTGAGCGGGGGGCAGCCTGGTCTTGTGCAAGGTTCAGCCTGCCTCTTGCTAACTCCAGCCCCAGAATCAGACATTTCTCCAAGGCCCCCTGGTTCCATTCCGTGAAGAATGGTGTTTCCAAACCACTATGTCGGTGACTAGGTTCATGGAACTGCCCCGGACATAGCTGGCAAGGACATGGCCAGCCCCACTGCTCTCCTGCTCAGCGGTGAGGATGCTGCGCCACACGGGCCTTTCTGACCAAGCGGCAAAGATCGAGGCTGCATGCTTTGCTACAGTTAAAGACGGAAAGAGTTTAACGAAAGACCTGGGAGGCAATTCCAAGTGCTCCCACTTCACAGAGGAGATCTGCCTCCGGGTCAAGGACTTGGATTAGCACTCCTGCCCCGGCGTTTGCACCAGTCACTCCAGCGGACACCGCAGCAGCCATGCCTTCGGTTTGCTTGTTTCTTGACAGAGGCATGTTTGGATCTGGCCTCT